TCCAAAAACTCTTCAATCTTGAGTTGGCTCTCTTTCTTTGTTTTGTGTAAATGGTACAACTTGTGAAGGGCAATAACAATCAGTGCACGAAGAAACGAAGTCGAGATTATACCTGCAAATAATATGCCTTAACTTAGCACCAAAAACAGCAAGTTGCGAAGTAATTGTAAGATGAATTACATAAAAGCAGGATACCCTAAGAAGATCCTACATGAAATTAAGAGGGTGAAGGTGCAAGCTTAAAGAATGGGGCAAAGGGAGGTTAGATGGAGAAAATGTCATTTCTAAATTTAGATATTGCTTGCTGACAAAAATCCCGTGTTTGGTATTAGCAAAAATTATTTATAACCGCCAAGAATATTCTTGATTTAATGAAAATGTAACAAGCAACCATAAGATACAATAAGCAAATCTAAAAATTTAAGGTATCATATATCAAGGTTCAGGTATTAAGAATGTTACATATATAAGAATATCCAGATTCTTGTTACGAGTAGTCAGAAATAAGTGGTTTTAATCGAGACTCAGTTCAGCTCATTGAACCAAAAATTTAAATCCTACTAAATATCTTATAGTATTTAAGCTTAGGTATCATTGGATGTGTGATTATATGTAATAGTAGCATTAGTAACATTTTGTTTATGTTATTTATTTTTTCTTGTATATCAAATGATGTAAAATTTAAGAGATAGTTTGGGTCAGGGATTATATATTGAAACTTAACATTTGGCTATTAAGCTAGTCAAATAACATGTTTAGATAAAAAAGATAATATTCATGACACTATAATAAGTTTGACTTAAAACAGCACATTTTTAAAATGTGTTAATAAAAATATTTTTAATAACAATTTTTTTTTATGTTTTTTAGAACATTTTTGAAGTTCTAATTTCACTATATAAATTTTTTAATCCATTATGAATAAAATGTAACAATAGAAATTGTATACATTAGTAAATGTTGCACTTTTTTTTATTGTTACTAAAAGTGAAAAAAGTCAAGCTAAAAGTTTAAATAGCTACACTTTTTAAAATTTTACTATACAAAAAAAATATGTCATATAAAAAAAAGTGATTAAAACTCAATTTTTTTTAGTGTGAATATTAAAAATGAAAATTGTAATTTATTAAGAATAAAAATTGCAAATATAATTTTACTTTTATAAAGAATTTTTCAAAGTGATTTTATGGTTCTCTTTTTTATTTGAAACTGATTTTATTTATGCCATTAATTTAGTTTATAACAATTTATTAATAAAAAAAAGTGAATTAAGTAAAAGAAACAAGTAATTTAAGTCCAAGGCATATACCTTTATGTGGGGTGAGGTTGACTTTGGGGATGTCATAACACTCTGTTGGATCCTGTGTATTATTGCTGAGTCTACAAACTTTGCCTTCTGCTTCACACCTAAAGCGCATCAGTTTGGACCAATTTAAGCGAAGATTCTGTGCATCGATTAGTCCTTCAGGAATTGCTGGGATGTCAACAACCTTGCTGCAATTTAACAGGTTATCATACGTCGTGGAAGAAGAAGGAATAGCTTTAATTTGAAAGCCACTGATGAAGCCATTGCAAGTTCATTGGAATTAGCTGAACAGTTGAACAAGGTGTAGTTATCTGGTTGTTCCAAGTAGTCACAGAGAATTAGCTGGAAGGGAGAGGCAGAGAAATTGAGATCGAGATGTGGGAGCTGCCTGTTGAGGCAACCATCCGGATCAGATAAGTAAATCTCTTGTGCTTTGTAAACTATATTATCAACCAACATCTTCACCGCCCATGGCAAGTGAAGCAGGGTTTGCTGATTTTTGGTGCAGGATAGTTGAAAGCCAGGATGAGGAAAGCCGCAGTGGGTCGGCTGCTTGTGTTTTAACCAAAAGGGAAATCGGACAGGCGGGCCATGGAGTGTGCGGTTTTTCACCACGCATATATCCTGAGTTGCTCCAACGTTAAGCAGCAAGAGGAAGTGTCACGGGGTCATTACTCTCTTCTCTATAAACAGGTTTATAGGGGTGTGCAGCACACCCGTTTGAGAAAAAAACCTCTCGTTCCTGTCTGATGTGGGATAGAGATACTTTCCTTGTGACACTCTCACCCACCCGAATCGGCAACGCTCCCGTTGCCGTCGGCCACCCTGCCTACCCCGTTGAAACGAGGACCGGTCCGCTCTGATACCACTTTGTCACGGGATCATTACTCTCTCCCCCATAA